GATTTGCTGCCACCCAACACACAAAATTCAATAAATAAATATATATATCAAACTTACCACAGTGCGAAATCACAGAAGGTTACCCATATTAAAAATCTATCATGCATAAATAACATATATAAAACCCCTTAATTGTTATGACAATTACCAGCAGCTATCACTGGTCCCCACCCTAATAAAGGAAACAAATAATTTCCAACAAGAAAAATATGTGACACACAAATAAATGTACTTGATTATGCCAGTGACGCTATTCAATAGGTATGTTAATTAAGTGAATTCAAAATCGTTACATTTAACCGGCTATGCCAGGTTCCAATATTAATTACACAACCAACAATCTCCCAGTATCTTACTTGAGATACGAAGGACTTCAACTAATTACTAACAAGTCGGGTTAAGCCAACAGCTAAATAGAATCTATCAGATTCTCTGCTAGTAATAATTTACGTGAAATTCCAAACCTCGCATCAAAAGTAACGTTTTCCAGAGGTGTCACCAGCATGTACACGAAACAACCAACAATCCACTTAGCTGTGCGGGTCCTCGCCTATCGGTAAACTCGAAGGGATCGCAATGGGACGGTACCGGTGAACAGCAAAATCGGCAACGATGTCTCGGAGCTGTCTCCGACCAGAACGATCAAGTTCTCGGACAGGTGTCGCGCTCGAACTTGGTACACGACGATTCCACCCAGTTAACGGCTTCCCTCCATTACAGCCATGCATAAAATTCCTCCGACGTTACGACAAATAACCCTCCATGCGGTACAAACAATCACAGTGAAACAGGTCTCCCCGGAACTCGAACTCGAACAGTTTTACATATCCTTCGCAGCTCACATCCAATACCAAAACTCCAGTCTGATTACACGAGACCCACGACTGTTCCCACGCCGATAAGTGACAAAACAAATACTAGATTCACGTGGTAATGTAGATCCGTCACCCAAAATCCGCTGCAAATATACCCCGTATGAAATAACGAAATGACCACAAAAGAGTAAGGAATGACTCTTACCTTCGACCTGAAGCTGATGATCAAACTAAAAGCCGATAAACGCCTTGTTGCATAAAATCCGGCCAAGCCGAGTGCCAGACCAAAGCACCAATTAAGTGGATATCAATTAAATCCCGCTAAGCGGCATTGGGACAAACTCCCCAAATATCCAATTCCAATATCCAAACGGATGCCTCAATGAACACAATTAATTCCAACTTTTTAAATGCGCAACATTACTTTTCGGCGTGCTAACACAAAAATGCACTCCGATCGCCATTTCCTTGTCCCACCACCGGCTTTTAATCGTAAACCCCAAGGTAACGAAAATAGGGACTCCAAGCGGTAAAAAGAGAAATTACCTCCCGGTGGCCAAATCTATACACGACACAATTCATACTGCCTAAAGATATAACTGGCCGTCACAAATCCCACCCTTACCAAAAACGACCTAAACCCACCCCTAGGTGACCAATATCTCCAAAACCATATCGACTAAGCACTCAACACAAGGACAACACTCCCGAAAAATCTAACACCAAATCTCCTAGTTCAACATCCATACCAAAACCTAGATACACCCCTTCCCATGCATACACAAACTACAGTCTGACTCACGACGCCCACATAGAGTCCTTCGGCAAATCGGCCGGCACTAGGATAAAACTAACCAAAAATAAAAATAAAAAAACGCAAGGGTTGCTACGCTCAATCTTCTGACCCACGAACACCGATGGTATCCAAGACAAAACGACCCTCAGTGGCATCACAAGAAGGTTGCCTAAAAGAGGCGAAATAAAGTTATAGGAAAGATTGCTGCACTGGCACACCACTCCCGAGCTTCTGCCTAGCCTACGGAAAAGAGAGGATCGGCAGGAGGGCACAGCTGCCAGCGCCTTACACCCCGAAAGGCCCAGAATTCTCCCAAAGAGGGGAAATGAAAGGAAGCAAGAATAGTAGAAAATAGAACGGTATGCCAAAGATTAGTTTAGTCTCTTCAACATCGACACCCGCGACTCAGCCTCAAGACCGCAGCAAAACAAGAAGTCTATCGTGAAGCGATAGAACTCCTAAACAAAAAAAAATAAATTAACTGGGAATCAAAATAAAAAGGGTTATCACTAAGTTTGGGATCACAAGCGGAATAAGGAAAGAGAATAAATTGGGAAGGTAGACTGCCTTTGCCCAGTCACACCAACATGCAAGCACACTCCAAACATCCAGGGGACCGATCCTAGATCCTCGACACCCCACCCATTTCTTCCTATGAAGACTAAAAACCCTCCCACCCAAAACATATAACCCCGAAAATTCCCAACCCAGAAGAGTACATAGAGATTGACGTACAGGAAACCGACCCAAAAAAAAAAACAAAGAAATAAAGAATAGAATGGAAGGGCTCTGATCTTCGAGCAGGGAATTGTATCCGAAACGAAAATAAAGAGTGGATACAACCCCTAAATGGACCGTCCAACGTCCCCAACCAACCAACCCGAATATATATAAAAGCGACTCACTAATCTGGACAACGTTTCAAGTCTTTTGCATGCCAAGTGCCTCTAAACCTACCATCCGTGTCTTGTAGCTCGAACATCCACGGGGAAACTTTCTGAAAGATAACAAAGGGCCCAATATACTTTGGCGCCAGTTTCGAGGAGAATTGTTTCGTGGCATCCGATTGAGGAAAATTCCTTCGATAAACCTTTTCGCCAACCTTATAAATAACAGGACGGCGCCTCAGATCGTAATGACGTTTGTTTTTCTCCGCCGCTCTCTGTAACCGAAGCGCAACATTGTCGAAAAGCTCACGCAACGCCTTCGCTCTAACGTCCCTATCCTCCGATCGGTCAATCTCAAAATCAGCTATAAGTGGCCTATCCCCTACCGCATTTGTCGCAAAATCTCGACCAAAAGCTATGAAATAAGGAGTATGCCCCGTCGCCTCGTGGACCTGAGTTCTAATAGCACAAGTCACCTTTGACAAGTGTTTATCCCAATCCTGTTGATTTTCTTTAATATAACACCTAAGCATGGTCTCCAACGTTTTATTCACGCGCTCGGTCGGATTCGCTTGGGCATGGTAATTCGCAGTGAATATCTGCTTGGTCCCATACTCTCCTAGTAATTTCCGGAATTCAGCACTACGAAACTGGACCCCATTATCTGAAATAAGAATCTTAGGCTGACCAAACATCAGGAACCACTGGTCCTCCACAGCCGTGCAAATAGGTTTCGCAGTCGCATTTCTCAAAGGAACAGTTACAACAAATTTACTAAACAGGTCAACCATCACCAGGATATATTTAAAACCCCGCTTCGATCTAACCAAGGGTCCAATCAGATCTAAAGAAATTACGTGAAACGGTTCTTTAACCACCTTCCTAACAGCCATCAGACCTGCAGGTTTCTGCTGCTCGGGTTTATTAATGAGACACACTGTGCACCTACGAACATATTTTGCGATATCTGACTTCATCTTCGGCCAAAAGTAACGTTGGTTAGCCCGTCTATAAGTTTTGAACACCCCCGGGTGACCAGAATGAACGTCATCATGACACGCTCGCAGAATCTCCAACCGTTGCTCTTTAGGGACGACATACTTCCAGCCCTCATCCTCAACTGACTCGGAAATACCCTCCCCAAAATATCTGTAGAGCTGAGTTCCTACGACTCTCCAATCTGAGTATTTCAAGGGATGTTCGTTCACGTTTACAATCATTCGACGATACCACGCATCTCGTATCTCATTCTCATCGGCCTTTCCTACCTTTAACGAATCAATAACGGGTACAGACCTAGATAACATGTCAGGGACGACATGCTCCTTACCCTTCCGATGAACGAGGTCAAAAGAATATTGCTGTAGACGAAGATTCCAACGACCCAACCTCCCCGATGGTTCCTTTAGATTATTCAGCCAGCAGAGAGACCAATGATCAGTGATGACCTTAAAATGGGTACCCTCAATATATGGTCGTAACTTCTCAATACTCCAAAGGACTGCCAGACACTCACGTTCCGTAGTAGAATATTTACGCTCTTGTTTGGTGAGGGATCGAGATAAATAACAAATCACCTTTTCCCCTTCTTCCGGATAATCCTGACTCAACACTGCCCCTATACCAAACGCACTAGCATCGGTTTGAATTACGAACGGCCTATTGTAATCTGGACATGACAAAATTGGAGCAGACACCAGGCAACTTTTAAGTTGGTTAACAGCCACATCCTGCGCCTCCGTCCATTTAAATTTCGACGATTTCCTTAACAAGTCTGTAAGTGGTTGAATTAGAGTTGAAAAATTCGGGATAAACCGACGATACCACGACGCAGTACCTATCAACAACCTATCAGCACGAACCTCCGAAACTTTAGTCGGTGTAGGAATATTAAGAATGGCTGAAATTTTATCCGGGTCGACTTGAAGTCCATATTCGTTGATGACATAGCCTAAGTATTTTAGCTCACTCCGATAAAAGTGACACTTATCCCGATTCAGGACTAACTTTGCGGCTCTCAACCGCTCCAGTACTTTAGTCAAAACCTCAATATGTTGGTCGAAAGTAGGAGTAACAATTATGATATCGTCAAGATATTTGAAACAGAAAGGTTCCAAATCTACCCCCACCACTCGGTCTATTAGTCGTTGCCAAGTAGCTGGTGCTGTGTGCAACCCAAAAGGAAGACGTTTAAATTGGAAAAGACCTCGAGCTGGTACTGTGAACGCGGTTAAAGGTCGAGAATCTTCGGACAACGGTATTTGCCAATATGCCGACTGCACATCGAGACTAGTTAAATAGCGAGCGTCCCGTAACCGGTCTAAAATATTAGATACAAAAGGCAGAGGATAAGCATCTCGACGAGTGACTTTATTTAATTGACGAAAATCAACGCAGAACCTCCAAGAACCATCCTTCTTCCTTACCATAACAATCGGACTACTCCAGGGACTGGTTGATGGTTCAATAACCCCTTTGTCTAACATTTCTTTTAGCTCTCCTTCAATAGTGCCGGTGAAACGGGATAGTAACGCTGTTTGATTGGTTCCACATTATCGAGAAGTTCAATTTTATGTTCCACCAAATCGGTGCAACTAAAGGACGTGGGCATATGGCCAAAATAACACTCAATAGCCTCACTCAGCCTGCGTTCCTGGTCCAGGTTCAGGTTTTGTCTCGAATTCACGGGATCTAATGAATTCACCTCGACCTCTCCCTCAGCCGCAAATTTCCATTCCTTCGCCCGTAGATTCGGCACAATGCCCATCTGAGTCCAGAAATCCACCCCCAGTATTAAAAGTTGGCCCAGGGTCGGCACGACTAACAAATCTATTACTTTAACCGTCTCCTTCAATTTAATTGGCACTCGAAGAATCCCCACGCACGCACATACCTGGCCATTTGCAACAGTAATATTTGAGAATTCGGACTTCAATAATGGCAATCCTGTACTCCTTAAAATTTTACAACCTCTCTCCCCGATCACGCTCCTAGTGGCACCTGAATCAAGTAATCCTAGCATTTCCTTTCCGAGAATATTGACCCTAATATGAGGCCTCTCATCACCCTGCACATGCGAGAATACAAAATCTAGCAAACATTTCACCCTATTGGCCTCCTGAAATCTCCGAGATGACATAGGGCCCACATCTATCATCTCTCTTACTCGTTTTTTGACCTAGGGTTGCAGCGACGACACTCACGAGTTGTAACATCAAGTTGGCCACAGGAAAAGCAGTGCTTCCTAAGCGGTCGATCACAAAATCTAACTAAATGCCCAGTCTTCAGGCAGTTCCAGCAGTTAACGTCACCAGTGTTAGACCCAGACCTCGAATTCGACACCCTAGCCTCAGACACACCAGGTGTAACCACACAAGAAAGTTCAGGCTCAACAGAAGCTAAGTGACTTTTCCGAGAGGGTGCCTGGTAATGATCCGCTCTATATTTCCTTGTTTCCAGCTGCAAACACTCCTCCTCCAGTTCTCTCAAGGATTTAACGGTTGGTAGCTGCATGGTATAAAAAGGTGCCAAATTGCGTACAAGAATATCTAATTGTATATCAAGCGGTATGTCCCCATAGCGAGAAAACAAGGTGGTCATGCAAGAAAAATATTCAATGAAAGGCTCACTCGGTCCCTGAACCCGTGCTAAAATCTCCTGAAATAACCGCGGCCTGTAATCAGGTGGTAGGAAATGCTTCCGAAGCAATTCAGACAATTCGGTCCAACTTGCACACCTAGTGACCACTGATCGATACCATAGTAACGCTTTACCCTCGAATAAATCCAGCGCAGATGCAAACAACTCTCTCTCAGACACATGCCTCGCCTTCCGCAACTCATCGACCCGCTCAAGGAAGGACATAACTGATGTACCCTTCGGATCACCTGAGAATTTCAGCCCCCATTTCTCTACAGGTTGTGGTTTCGAAGTTCTGGGAAATTTAAATCCCGTCGCCCCTCCACTCTCTACAGGCGAAGAATCCGACTCCTCAGATAAATCTTCCTGTACAACCGGATGACTCGACCTGGCAATCACACTTAAATTCGGAGTACTCGCTTTCACAGGTTGCTTCCCACCTTCCACCCTACTGAGCAATGCTGACACCTTCCCTAACCACTTACTGCGACTTTGCAGAGTCTCCTTGCTCTGAGTAGCCCCCATAGGAATACGATTAACCCGCCCAATTAAATGTAATATTCGTGACGTACACCTCCGATAAACACTAGCTCGCCGCTCCTCCTCTACGTTCTCGATTAGACCAACTAATTCCTCATACTTGTCCTTAATAGTACTCAACTCTCCCTCGGCTGCTAAATCATACTCGGGGTATGTTAATGAACGATCGGTAGCTTCCAACTTAAATAGGGACCTCAGACTACTACGCATTTCATCTACAGTCATCTCCGTCTCACTCACACCCCTAACTCTCAATTCATACTGAAGTTCATCCTTTTTCAGATGATTAATACCCAACAATAACTTAGCCATTATCCCTATAGAATATAGCAGTAACTATCCCCAGAAGAAAATTTAACAAAAGGAACCACACAATTAATCTACAAAGACAAATTCAAGCACAAGCGGAATCATGCACCCAAAAAAGTAAAATCGAGCCCCACGTTGGGCGCCAAAATCTGCAACGCCAACTTGGCAAATAGCCGAAGCAGAATACAGTAACCAAATAAGAATGCAGTCACCTATGGCGCTACCACCCTACCTGCAATTTCCTCCTCTCACTGTCAACTCGACTCAAATAAGTATAGGCAGCGCACCCTTGCTCTAGCTCAGGGAGACGGGTGGGGTTCCACGTTGGCCGGAACCAAATCCTAAAAGTGATACAAAAAAAGTTGTGGGCGCCACCGACTCGGATTCCCAACCGCTGCTCTAGTACCGGGAGTCGGTCCGTAGATGGTAATTTAAAGAAAGAATCGAGCGACAGCTCACGTATCCAGGGTACTCACACACTCTCGCAATCAAAACACAAATACATACAACTTGACTAGCCCTCTTTAATAACTATTTAACAAATCTCGAAAAAAATTGTAAGTAATAACAAGAGTAAATAATAGAATCTGCAACTCGTGCCACACAAACCAATTAAACGGTCGCCGAATCAAGTACCCAAAATCTCCCCCCCCCCTTTTAAAATGACAACAAGCAAATAAATAATCCAAAATTTAAAGGACAACAATCAACCCCCCCTATGACTTCGACGTCGAACACCCGAGTAGCAGGGAATAATATCGGATTTCCGATTTATCTGCTACCTCAAAACGTACCAAGCAAATGTACGCAATACGAACTATTACACCGATCAGTTACACATAAATACTTAAGATACCTGGTGATGCATCACAAAGAATCAAATTGGGGCCGCCTGATTTGCTGCCACCCAACACACAAAATTCAATAAATAAATATATATATCAAACTTACCACAGTGCGAAATCACAGAAGGTTACCCATATTAAAAATCTATCATGCATAAATAACATATATAAAACCCCTTAATTGTTATGACAATTACCAGCAGCTATCACTGGTCCCCACCCTAATAAAGGAAACAAATAATTTCCAACAAGAAAAATATGTGACACACAAATAAATGTACTTGATTATGCCAGTGACGCTATTCAATAGGTATGTTAATTAAGTGAATTCAAAATCGTTACATTTAACCGGCTATGCCAGGTTCCAATATTAATTACACAACCAACAATCTCCCAGTATCTTACTTGAGATACGAAGGACTTCAACTAATTACTAACAAGTCGGGTTAAGCCAACAGCTAAATAGAATCTATCAGATTCTCTGCTAGTAATAATTTACGTGAAATTCCAAACCTCGCATCAAAAGTAACGTTTTCCAGAGGTGTCACCAGCATGTACACGAAACAACCAACAATCCACTTAGCTGTGCGGGTCCTCGCCTATCGGTAAACTCGAAGGGATCGCAATGGGACGGTACCGGTGAACAGCAAAATCGGCAACGATGTCTCGGAGCTGTCTCCGACCAGAACGATCAAGTTCTCGGACAGGTGTCGCGCTCGAACTTGGTACACGACGATTCCACCCAGTTAACGGCTTCCCTCCATTACAGCCATGCATAAAATTCCTCCGACGTTACGACAAATAACCCTCCATGCGGTACAGACAATCACAGTGAAACAGGTCTCCCCGGAACTCGAACTCGAACAGTTTTACATATCCTTCGCAGCTCACATCCAATACCAAAACTCCAGTCTGATTACACGAGACCCACGACTGTTCCCACGCCGATAAGTGACAAAACAAATACTAGATACACGTGGTAATGTAGATCCGTCACCCAAAATCCGCTGCAAATATACCCCGTATGAAATAACGAAATGACCACAAAAGAGTAAGGAATGACTCTTACCTTCGACCTGAAGCTGATGATCAAACTAAAAGCCGATAAACGCCTTGTTGCATAAAATCCGGCCAAGCCGAGTGCCAGACCAAAGCACCAATTAAGTGGATATCAATTAAATCCCGCTAAGCGGCATTGGGACAAACTCCCCAAATATCCAATTCCAATATCCAAACGGATGCCTCAATGAACACAATTAATTCCAACTTTTTAAATGCGCAACATTACTTTTCGGCGTGCTAACACAAAAATGCACTCCGATCGCCATTTCCTTGTCCCACCACCGGCTTTTAATCGTAAACCCCAAGGTAACGAAAATAGGGACTCCAAGCGGTAAAAAGAGAAATTACCTCCCGGTGGCCAAATCTATACACGACACAATTCATACTGCCTAAAGATATAACTGGCCGTCACAATGTTTAAGCTATTATATTTTCCAAACGGTTTGTCTAATTGAAAAAATGTTTTAGTAAAAAAACTACCTTGTTTCATTCTACATATTTTGTCTTGATATGTACACCTCTATCGCCAATAATAACGAAAATACATCGCGACTGAAATTCTTATTACACTTCTCGCGCATATACAGCTTTAATAGCTTACTGAGTGGTTGTTAAAGACAACATTGACTTTCTTTTTGTTCTGTGAGAGAGCAAATATAATGAGCTTTCGAAAGCTACACAAATTCTTGGAAAATTGGATTAAATTTTAAATGACTTCAGAAATGCGATGTACCTAATCGTAAAATTTCTAAATTTTGGGAAGTGCGAAGATTTGGACAAATTTTTTTTTTTGCTATTTGCAATCCCTGCGACCATCTTGATTCAGAATCGGCATCTAATTCTGCACATGATGCGTATTTTTCAAAATGTATTATACCTTTGGGTTCATATACCATGTTCGAATTTTGACTCCCAGATTCTCTACTATAACTTGTTATTGAATGCGATTGGAAAATCCACATTCCTAATTACAATTTTTTGTTAGCATTCGGGTCTTTTTCTCATACCATCTGTTAGTTGCTATAATTGAATTATTATTGTTGTGGTAATACTAAATAAAAAGTTGATACGTACGAAGTGTACATTTTAGCAAGAAAAAATACCTTTGCCGCGGTTAGAATGTATCAGGAGAAATCTCCTGAAAGAGAAGTACCATAACATATTTTCGAAGATTAGAAGCCAGATTACGTGCCAATAGAAACGCATTTATTGGAAAATCGAGAACAACAATAAAGAATGATATTGAAATAGAAATTTTGGCCTATTTTGAAGCAATTTCCAGGGGATGTACTAGAATGGCTGCTTGCGAGTACCAATGTAGTGCAGAAAGAGTACATAAAGTTTTAAAAATGAATAAATACAGAGTGTTTAAACTAAAAAAGTCTAACATTTACATTTGGGTAACCACGAAAGACGCCTTAAATTTTGCTATTTGTTGTTAAACGAAGGAAGAGACTTTTTAAAATTTATTATCTGAACATCTGATCAGATTTTTCAAATAATGGCATGTTTAATGAAAGAAATAATTATTATTACAATGCCAAAAACACTATAATTGTGTGTGAGAGACGATTTCAAAGAAAATTGTGTGTTAACGTTTGGTGTGCAATTTTGAAGATAAAATATTTTTTCATATACATGAAGGTACTCTCATAAATGATAGGTATTTACAATTTTTAAGAGGCGCGTTAGCAAATATGTTAGATGATGTTAATTGTAAGATATTTGCATTATGAACAAGATGGTGCACCTGCTCACAATGCGTAAAGAGTAACACAATATTTAAAGGGTTCGAATCATTGCTGCTAACGGCGCTATTTCATGGCCCACCCGGTCGCCTTTAAAGTCCAAACCTCGAAGTAATCCTGGAAGAGGACTAAACGCGAAGAGTGCGCCAAAAAGCCTGCGCGGAAAAATTCACCGACAAGTGAGGCAAGTTAGCGGAATGACAGTTTTAATATTCAGCGAATCTCAAACAAAAGCTAAAGTTGAGTAAGGGTAGAAATAAACTGTTACACCCTAGGCGATGCAGCTTAATATCCAAGGAAATTGATCACGGGTGTTGAGACCAAGTTATCAAAGATTTGCTTCGTCCTCACAAAAATGGAGAATTGGCTTATACAAAACAAAATAAAGCTAAATAACGCAAAAACTAAGACTACATTTTTACTTCAAAGTAATACCTGGGGCCTATAAGTGTAACACAAGCCGCACAAGTCCTACAATTGTACGTGTTTCTTTTACTTGCCCTTTTTTATCGTAATGAGAAATGAGAATTAAAAAGATATTACTTTTAACTGCGACGTTACTGTTAATGAATCGGCGACGGCTACAACGACAGTTCAGCAAGGCGTTATAGTGTTCGTCCCTTAAATAGAGACACCCGAGCGACTGGAAAGTTTTATTCTCATTTTAAGGGGATGAAACGGGAAGATGAAGAGCAATTTTTTGTATACCTACCTACACAAGAATGACGGTACCAATGTGGAACCAATTATCATAACCTCTGTCTCCATTTTATGGGAACAAACGGACAAGGCATTCAATTTGTGCTGAAGAACGATTATGCATAACTTTGCGGTGAATAAATATTTTACGAATGTAAAAACGAAACTTCCATTTAATTGATTGCAGATATCTTCCTGATCGTGGCGGTCTAAAGAGATGGCCTTTAACTTTATTTATTGTCCATGTTAACAAAATACTAACTACATGCGTTTTCCGAAATGCAAAGCGCACCAACTAATGTCAACATCAACTTATGTCAGTAACCCTTAGACCATATGTCTAAGCAGTAACCTTGACGTCAAACTTTCTACTACTTATGTCAAAACAACATTGCGCAATGCGCATGCTTATTCGCAGGTGAAAGTTTTCAATTCTTATTTCTAAATTCTTATTTTTGTCAGTATAAGCGATTATATGAAAACGTATAGTTTTAAATTCTTATTCTTATTTCTTATTTTTAAATTCTTATTTTTATTTTTTGTGAGCATAAACTCACCTTAAATCAAACTGACGTTTATCATTATACGGTCACATTATAACATTACAAGGTATATTGATTCTACAATCAAACAAATTTGTTCTTTCAAATTTGCACTTTATCATTGAAATTGCTGTAGGTGATTACCGGAATACAAAAAATAGCGTATATACCACAGGACTTAATCCCTCGGGTGCTACGTTTTGGGCAACAATCTGCACCCTCGGGTTTAAAATATATCACTTTAGTCCCTTGATATACATTATAATATACTATTAGGACATTTTTTTAACTTTTTTTATAATACAAACTAATACAAAAATTCTTAATAAACCTGGACAGAGTGTGAGGGGCCTGTTTTTCGAATAATCGGCGTTATAGTGACGTTCGGCGATGTGTGCACGGTCGGCGTAGTGTCCGTCGCCGTAGTGTCCCTAGTCGGATATATGAACCATCAAAAAATCGTGTCGGCGTTAACTTAAAGTAACACTACTGATAGGGGTTTAGACCTGCTACCATAGTGCAACAAAATAGCAGGTAGGAGCTATTCTATAGTACGTCTACACTAATTTTTAAACTTCAGCCCCGGTATACAGAAGACGTAATGGCAGAAATTTACATATAGGTATTATTTATTGATACATGTATTATCATACCTTGCAACTGAACGGTTTTTAAAAATCCAGAAGATCGAGTGTATTAGCACCATATTGGCCACAATAGAAACGATATTGCTAAGACAATATTATCATGTATGCCGATTCCTTTTCCCTTTTCCCACTTGAGAAGTAAAAAATTTTTTGAGCCGCCGCGCCGTCGTGAAGTGCAATACAACATGGATATTCAGTTTCCAACTTATTTATTGAGCATTTAGGTGCTATGATGCAATTTTTCCATAGTGATGCAAGCACGTATCGGAACAAATAAGTCCAATAAGGACAAAATCAGCAAAAAAATTCTACATTTCTATGATTAATCAAAGTCTATACTGCGAACTGCGAAATTTCCGTGCTTGAAGGCATTGCGGGAAAATAAAAAATATCTTCTTCTCCAAGTCCCTTTAAAGCTAAGTAGAATGTAATATAAAATTCAACACCATTGTGCTTTATAAATAAATCTTTCCACGACAGAAACATCAGGGTTAGGGGAATACAAAAGGATTTCATTGTCACGTAATTCCGCAGCGTAGGACGATTGCGCCATTTACATTTCTCCCTTGAATGGAATGTATAAATATTAATTTTGTGTAGTTGTTATGAACGTTTTTTTACGCTGATTCTTTCGGAGATAACCGAATAAGTAAGTAACTTCAAAATTAAATCGGTTTTGAATAAACAGAAGTATACTACCCCAAAATAAAACCGGGGCGAAATAAATTTGTTTAATTGCATTACGAACGACCATAAAAATAATAAAATAAATCAGTTAAAGCATTAGATTTCCGGATCACAGTTTGTTACTTAAAAGTTTGAACCCACTCTAAATGCAAATTTGTTCCCAACAAAACAAACAAAACAAAGATTCCATCCCAAGCGTCGCCTGCAACTTCAGACGAAGTAAACTTTAATGAGTACAAGTATCTGCCAGGATTTTCAACAATCAGCAAGTTTCCATTGTTTGAAAACGACATTAAAATGTTACATATGTCAACCGGGACTTTTAATATTCTACTCGTCTACAATTTAAACCCTCCAGATTTAATTTCAACAAATTTATTGCTTTCTTTAAAAGTTGCTTCAATCGGCATCGCTACACTAATATCAACTTAATGCGAACGAGGGGCTGCATTCCCAACTTGGAGAAGCGCAACACATGTACGATAGGGTGATAGAAAAACAAACGCAAATTCAATGGAAGAAATACTCATTATGTGCATCTTTTACCAAGGGGAAAACCAGAACCCTTCACGAAAGTCAAAAGAAGTTCGTACAATCGGGGTC